GTGCCTGTTTATATATCCCAAAGACAGGCAACTTAAAAATCATACATGCCCACCCTACATGCACAGAGTATGCTTTGTGTTTTGTTCAGCTCTGGAAAAAAAAATGTATGGAACCTCTGACTTTTCTTTTCATTTTATGGATTAGGTAGTACCCAAACATTGTAACACTGGTTAGAAAAGTTTTTTCTCAGTCTATTGAGTTTTCATTTGCACCCAGAAAAGAATCACATATCTTTTAATCATTTGGCTTTCACTAACAACATTCAATTGGTATATCTGGTATGACAGTATAAACAGTATAGATAGTCTATAGCGTATCACTTCAATTCTATTAATTTTAATATCTGCTTATGATTACCTTTAGGTTGAATGACAGTATTTTGTTGTTAAAACATCAGGTGTCAAATACATGTATTCCATCTAGTCTCTCTTTGAATACTATCTCTGTGAAAATTTCCACTCAATTCTTCCTTTCTAACTAGAGAGAAATTCGTCTTCAAATAGAGAAGGGAAGGAAACATACTTGATATTATTTCTTAAAGTCTCATTTTTCTTTTCCTGGGTTAATAATCTTTATCTGTGCCCAAGCCAAAGCTTGTACAATCCCCTATCTTTATCTCTTTCTAAGTGGTATTTACTGTGTGAGTACCAGGAGTTTCCATTTTTTTTTCAGATTTTTTTTTGAACCAAAAGTAAGTAACCATTCTGGTCAAGACAAGAAGTGAAAAGTATCAAGGCCACTGACTTGAGTGCAAAAAATCATCAGGTAGCTAGCACTCACCACTGAATGTTCTTTCTTGAGCAGACTCCTGTTTAAGGTGACAGAAGCAAGACAAGGCAGATGCATGCTCTCTTGCCCTAAAAATCTAGAAATGATTATGAGGTGTTGACAAGATGGTTCAGTGGTTTAGAGCACTTACTGCTTTCATAGGACTGGACTATAGTTCTTAGTACCCATGTTGTAGCTCACAGTCCCCTGTAATTCTAGTTTCAGGTGATTCAACACCCTCTTCTGGCTTCCACAGGCACCTCCACATGAATGCACATACACACAAGACACTCACACACACACACACACACACACAAAAAAAAAAACCTTTAAATAAATTATAGATGAATACAATTAAAATGTCACCATGGTAACGATATTGTATGGCTATGGACTGATAAACCATACCTTGGAGTGAGGAAAGGAATGTGTAAAACAAGAAATGGAAGAACTAGATCGATGATATCCAGTCTGTGGGTGATGAGCTCTGGCCAATCTAGGGAGTTTTTAAGTAGATATGACAAATCCTCAGGCACTCAATCTCTATGTGTTGATTAAATCAATACTTCTTTCTGTCTGGTTATGCATGTACACTCTCCTGCCAAATTGCCTGAATTCAAATCCTAAGTATTTGTTTGGCAACTGCAAGTCCTTCAACAAACTGCCTAACCTCTCTATGATGTAATTTCCTCTTTACCAACCACATAGAATTGGTAGCAGGGACAAAATTGATAAGATGTGTTGCATACTTAGCCTTGTCCTGATGATTAGAGAGTATGCTATTTATGAGATACATATACCATGAGGAGACAGTGATACTGTCTTTTTAACAGTTCATATCCAATATTATATAGACATTGGTTTTACCGAACATACGGAGTAAGCCAGCACATTGGCCCTTCTGTTTCATGATTTTGGAAGAAGCTGGCATGAGTAGGCTCAGTTCTGATGCTTCTCTTTCAGACATGTTGCAAGGCAATAAAGTTCCTGTTAAAAGCTCCTCACTCTGACTCCAGCTTCAAGGACACCTCACAGAACAAAAATCCCATCGTTTATGCAGGGCCATTAGAGTTTTATGTCTACTTCACAGAGTGAAATACAGATTAAGTCTTCCGGGAACTGGCAACAGGTTTAAATCTGGGCATGAGATGCTATTATGAATTAATCACATATGTTCTCTGATTCAAAAATCCTGCGGTAAGAAGTGAGATTCTATATACTGTATTCATTTTGTTAAGCACACATTCTTTCCTCTTTTTTGATTCCACTATTTAACTGTCAAAAACCTTACAAGGCAAGAAGGGTTTCTTAGATTATTTGCTGTCCTGAGCTTATTGATCCCTTCCAGAATAGTGTTTTCAAATGCATGCTCACAATAATAATAACTACAAAGGAAAGCAATTACTTTAAAATATAATTTCAAATTTCTATGTATTAAAAATTCCCCTGTGCCTCAAAACACATGTTCTTAATGAAGATAAAATGAGTACATGAAATGAGCAGCTACACCATCCAGACAGTGTATATAAAATAAATTTGGAGGACATTTTGAAAATAAAGTTAAAATGTATTCAAATCTATATTAAGCATGGTAAGTGAAGCTTTTGCTTAATCTTGGTGATTTTTTTTATTTCTCTTCGTGTTCCTTCCCAACTTCTGAGGTTTTGTCTTGTTTGTTTGCTCATTTTAGGAATATGCTCTGGAAATAAGTGTATGGTTAATTCTTTCTGATGTTTATATGGCTAGTTGTTTAGTAAAAAAAATACTATAATTTGTTTTTAAGTTTCAATGAATTCCTTTGGTTGAACCTGCTGTTTTTCTGCTGTTTGTTGCTGCATCTAAAGCACCTTCTTCATCTCACTGTTGGACACTTAAGTGCAAGCTATAGATGGTGAAGCAAATAAAAATGATCTCACTGACAAACCCATCCTCTTCAGACTAAGCAAGCACCTCTCAGGGAGCTCACTCCTGCTCCCTCACGTAAGTAGGAGCTGTTTGGACAGTGTGTGGACTTCAGTGAAAGCCCTTGTAGAAGCCGTGTGAGCCACAGTAAAGTGACAGCAATTCAGTCAGTTTTCCTGAAGGCCCCCTATCCTTGGAAAGAGGATCCCACAAATTCCTCAACAAAGTCTCATCAATGTATGAAGCATAATCTGACTCTCCAAAGTCTATGAATTTAAACATTACCCTCCCAGCACCACAAGCTAAAACCCTTCTTCATTCCTCCTTGGTTTCTCTCCAAATGAAACTTTCTTACTGATCCTGCTTTTTTCTCATCACTCTAGAGAGAACTGAGATTGCTCAAAGTTCACTGCCATGAGATACCAGTTATTGAAGAAAGTATCTTATATAGATTTCCTATTGCCTTAACCCAGCCCAAATAAATATTTCTATTACAATTATTTAGCAAATAATACTAATAAATTGAAGATTATACATTTATTAAACATATTTCACATGCTAGTAGCTGTGCAATGTGTTTTACATGCAAGATTTCTTATTAGATCTTATAATGAAGCCATTGGTCTAGATATCACTGTTCCTAGCTTATAAGTAGAACCCAACTACATAGTCATTATGGGTATTTAACCTCTTCTCTGTAAATACCAGCAACATGCAGTTTTCAAAAACTAAAAGTCAAAGAAGACAGGGAGTTGGGAAGGAACACGAAGAGAAACTCTAGAATTAGTTTTAGGGTATGTGTACAGATATGATCAAATAATTTAAATTTTTTAAATAAAAAATTAAATGAAAAAAAACCACTAACTGCTCTATTAAAGCTTTTTCACTAAAACAGTACATAATTGCATGTTCTAGAATCATGTTCAATATCAGACTATATTCCCTAATTCCATGGAAAGCTGGAATTTTGGAAATATAACCATGCAGCACAATTACATGTTTAATTCAGTAGACTTCAATCATCTTGGAGGGTGAGTAAAGCATGATACATAGTGTCCCAACCACTTCAACTGAGAGATGTGCCTTTTTATATGAATATATATCAATTTATTAATGGGTGATATGGGAAAACAGACTCATGGATACAGGACAAGGTAGATCCAGTTGCAGAGTCCTTCTGTTTTGCCCTGGAAAGATGGGGATCGACACACACTGCTCTACACTGACTTGGTATCCACCATCCAAGAGCGAGATGTGCTTAAGCATATGGTTACCACCTATTCTAGAGCCTTGGCAAATAGAAAAAAAACTTTGTAGCTGAAAAAATATATATATTCATTTTTGTCATCATCTCCAGGATCATCAGTAGTATCAGATCTTAATCTGAACTGAAAGAAACCAGTAAATTAGTCAGAGCAGCCTTAATGAAAAAAAAAAAAGAATTAGTACTCATTTAAAGGAGAAACCCTGTTCATGTTCAGTGATCATAAAATGTAAGTTGACTGAAGCTGAGATGTAACTAAAATTAAGAAGCCCCAGTCCCCTAAGTGAGGGTTCACATCTACCTCCCTTGTCGTGAACCATATCAGGACCCAGCAGAGGAAGAGCCTCTGAGACTATCTCCAAAGAACCAATCAGATAGTAGATCACAGTGAATCAGATGGAGACTCTCAGACTAAGCAAATGAGTAAGAGATTAAGTAGGAGAGGATCTGTAATTGAGAGGAACCTCAAAGCATTTCACCTATTGTTCTCCATGATCTGGAGTGTTCTTAGATAGAACATCATAGAGGCTGAGAGATTGATTCCAGTGTTACATTTTTACATGTTTAAACCCCAAATTTTCCATTTAATAGGTGGCATGATAACACAGATTACCTAACCTTTCTATTTTCCCATCAATAAAATATAGATTGTAATAAAATCTAATAAATTTAGACAGTAATATTTAACTCATATTTTTTTTTGTGTGTGTGTGTGAACAGTATCGGCTATATTTAACCCAGGGACTGGTACCAAGGGATTCTGTAAGTACTCATTTTATTCTGCAGTCCTTTATACCCATGTTTCTAAGTTGCAAACCAAATACTTGTGCACTGAATGGCACCTCAAGGAGGCCTGTGGCTCTGCTTAGATCCATGGTGCTCACCCACCAGATTCTAGGTGTACTGCTGAAGGTACAATGAGAACAAATGGGTGACTATAAAATTGCCAAATTTGGCACAACACTATTATTATCTCTGGAGAAAGCCAAGCCCAGGCATAGCTGATTAGTTAACCAGATACGATGCAGAAAACATTTCCTTCTCCTTTTTGGTTTCAAGCCTATTTCTGAAGCCATAGTTAGAGCTCTCCGGCAGTTAGCACCTGACGGCACAGAGGCGATGGCTCCTGCCAATGGAGGGTCTACCCAGCTGTGGCTACCACTGCTGTTTATCTGTAAGTACAGATTCACATTACTTTCCACCTTGAGGGACCAAAATTCATCTAGAGACCATCAGGATGGGGACATTGATGTTATTTTGGTGACTTTGCAGCACTTATGCAAACCGTGGGGGCATTTCCTGACACTATGCAGTAGAGAGGAGCAGAGAAAACTGTCCTGAGTATATCACTCAGTGGGAAACCAGGCTAATTGCTTAGATCTTTTCAGTCCTCTGACATCTTTTAGAGTACAAGACAGATACCAATAGAGGAGGATAAAGAAAGAATGCAGTTCCTTCTCCCCACTGATTATTAAAACTTTATGGATGTGGGTCTCATTCCCACACAGATCACAATCTTCTTGCATCCAGGAAAACTGGAGGTAGATGCTAACTTACCCTTTATTGATTTTGCAGCTCTGGGTGTCATGCTGACGGGTGAGTTGTTTGTCTTTATTCCCTCAGTGTATCTGGACATTGCTCTCTTCCTCTGTCTGTATCCATCTTGTTTTTTTTTTTTTTATAGTTCTGACTTTTCCTCTTCCCAGAAAGTCTGCTTTTTAGATCCACCTCTTCCCCATCATTTATTCCCAGCCCCAGAGTTTCCCACATACCATTTTCCCCTCTCAAGTTGCCTCCTCTTCTGCTTAAGCCAACAGCCATGTCTGCTCTGATGTCAGCCTCTCTTCTAGGCCTTTAACATACACTCATCCAACTTGCATATTACTATCATTATTGGTATTTTGTAATTGAGAACTCCTGCAATTCAGATTACAACATCACTTACTGGAGGTTGCACAACCAACAAAAACTTGGTTTTATCCTAAGTTCCTTGGGTCTGAATATAATGTTCATTGACTATATCAACCTTTGTCATCACCACAAGCTGCTCTTTAGCTTCTATTTAAATTTTCACCATATCTCCTTACTCCTGGAAGTCATCCAAGGCTGATATGCTCTTGGTCCTTTTCATGAAACCTTGAAAATTGAAAACATTTCTCACTGCATATATTCACAATTAAATAGTTAAAAAATTTAGAATTCATAGTTTATCAAGGCTATTATATGTTTTTATTTTAATTAATGTAATTTATTTACATTGTATACTAAAATATACCAGTGCTTGATATAATCTGAAATGGTTGACAGTTGTTCCTGATATATTTTAATGAAACTGAGGTTTTAACATTTATCCTTTATTTCTACATTCAACCATTTAACAATTATTTAGCAAACACTAACTATATACCAACCATTATGATAAGCAATGATTGGTTGTATCAAGTATTATCCATGCCTAAAAAAGATTGCAATTTATATTTATGGGTACTGATATTCAAGTTCAGAGGATTAGAGTAGGTTATGACATCATATAATAAATTACTTAGCTTGTTTCCAAACTTCTTGTGTGTGTGAACCCTATCTTCATGCCTGGACTGGCTGCTCTCTGAGATCATATCACTATTTACTTCATTCTTTATTTGTTTTCTAGACATCATGTCCGAGTCTTGTTACTAGCAAGATGAACCATTGTTTGACTGTTGACATGTTTGGACTTTTGAGACTGGATAACTTTCAATGACTTAAAATTTCTTTATTTTCACAATTTTACATTCTTTAAGCCACTCAGAAATCTGTTGTGACGTTGAACCCACCGTGGATTAGAATATTTACAGGAGAGAAAGTGACTCTTATATGCAATGGGAACAATCTTCAAGAGAACTCTACTAAATGGTTCCACAACGGCATCATCTCTACCATAACAACTTCACATTGGGACATTGTGAGTGCCACTATTCAGGACAGTGGAAAATATATATGTCAGAACCAAGGATTTTCCAAGAGTAAACCTGTGTACTTGGAAGTGACGAGAGGTATGTTCTAGGCATATAGGAATATATATCTTTCACATGAAGAAGGACCCACTAGAACAGTGGTTCACAACCTTCCTAATGCTGCAACCCTTTAATATAGTTCCTCATGCTGTGGTAACCCCACAACCATAAAATTTTGCTACTGTTATGAATCATAATGTAAATATCTGTGTTTTCCAATTGTCTGAGGCAACCCTTGTGAAAGGGTCATCTGACCACCAGGGGAGTCATGACCCACAGGTTGAGAACCACTGCACTAGAAGCTGGCAGGAATGTAGTTTATTTTAAGAGATTTAGGGCTTCTCACTCAAGACATCTCAGTGTCTTTTCTTTGGCACATCTCCTTACATTCTCTCTCTCAGTAGTCTATTCAGTGATCAATATTATTCCTCTGCTCTGTTTCTTCTATTTTACCTAGATGTAGACATGCATTTTGTGATCAAATGACATGATAGGCATATGGACACTGCAAGGAGCTGTGTATGTATACTTGGATCATAATGTTTGAGTAAAGATTTTCTCTGAACAATCTGTGGGCCATGAACGATGCCTCTACATGTTCTTCATGTCCTTCTCTGCTACTAAAAACAATTCTATTGTTTATTTTGTTACAACAAATATTGCTTATTTATTACTCTTTTACTGTCAAAACCTAATACAACATATCTAGGTATCAATAAATGTTGAATGAGCAAACTATCTTTCAAATGGGAAAGTTAGACATTATTTTTTTCTTGAGTGAAAACATAGGTTTTAACATCTATAAACCAATTCCAAGTATAAACTAAACCATATAGAATAGTCATTTATTTCCTGGTAGTAGAATTTAGAGAAGTCCTCAAAGGTTTTTTTCTTAAATACAACATGCTTGCACAAGTAAGATATGTTCTCATTCAAAACCCTCCATTTATGAATGTTTTACAATTCTTTTTTTTTTTTTTTTTTTTTTGTTTTTCGATACAGGGTTTCTCTGTGTAGCTTTGTGCCTTTCCTGGAGCTCACTTGGTAGCCCAGGCTGGCCTCGAACTCACAGAGATCCACCTGGCTCTGCCTCCCGAGTGCTGGGATTAAAGGCGTGCGCCACCAACGCCCAGCTATGTTTTACAATTCTTAAAAATGGCTTTAACCATAGAACATGATTCTTTGAACTTGCTGAATCATTATTGACAAACAAGCGCTGAGTATCTACAAACTCCTACACACTGTGTTAGGTACTACTGACAAAACAGAACCAGATACAGTCTCTTCACACACAGGTCCAGTTAGGGAAGGTGACAGAAAATAAAAATTAAAATAGTAGTTAAAATTCATGTACATATTTTAAGGAAATATTTTGGCCTACTATAATTAACATAACTGAGAAGCCTCTGTGAAGAAAGAGAGGACAAAAAATAATCCCCCTAAGTTCAAATATTTTTGGAGGAGTATGTCTATCTGCTTCCTCTTAACTAGATCCAGCTAGAAAAATCTGAAGGGAATTCTGGTCTTTGTTCTTTCCACATGTGGGCTCAGCAGTAGAGTACAAAGACACTTTATGATTCCTGGTTGACTTTTCAAAGGGAGAAAAGATTCACTGGCATAGATTTCCGATTATACATATTATTTTGTCTTTATTTTCTAATTGATCTTATGAACCAAAACATGGATTTCATGGACACCCTTTACCTGTCTGTGGATCTGTTTCTCTGCTACTCTCTCCCCATCCCCTTCCTCAGGATGCTTATCAATTATTAAGTCTATATTAACCATAATGTAATGAATACTCTTCAGATTGGCTGCTCCTTCAGACTTCTGCTGATATGGTATTATACAATAAGTCCTTTGACATCAGATGCCATGGCTGGAATAACTGGACTCTCCGCAAGGTGATCTACTATAAGGATGACCTTGCTTTCAAGTACACTTATGAGACCCCCAAAATCTCCATTAGAAATGCCAAACTTAATGACAGCGGCACCTATTACTGTAGTGGATTTCTTCGCCGACTGAACTACACATCTGAGAAACTCAGAATTACTGTAATAAAAGGTAAGTTGATCTAGAACAAAATAGTCCATAGCATGGACAGAGAAAGTGGCCATATGAGCCTGTGTTTAAAGTTAGTACAAGGGAATCTGTGACTGTCTTGGAAGAAGGAGACCCAGAACATATTGCCATAGTAGAGTCCTTATTTGCTAAATGCTGATGGTAATACCTATGCACAAAATGAAATTTTATAAGGATTAATGAGATAGTTTTGTCAAATGGCTTTATAAGCTGTCAAGTCCTGTGCTACAATTAGCATTTAAAAATTATCTCTTGCTCCTAAGAAGAGTGTTTATATCTATGAGATTGGAAGTGGTTTGGGAACCTGGAGGAAGCAAGGATACAAAGAGCTTGGAGAGTCCATATTAGCTGAAGATGACGGGGAAGGAAACCAATCCCTCAGTGAGCTGTGTGTGCAGGTCCTGGAGGATGAGAGTGAGCCCGCAGAGGGCAGGCAGGTGGCTGCCTCTATGGCTCATAAGACAAGCCACTCTTACCAAATGTCATAAAAGAGGGGAACTTTTAAATGCTTGCCTTTGAAGGAGGAGATTTTGCTTTATCTTGGCATGCTTGTACTTATCTATAAAAAAGCAAGTTGGCCAAAGTTTGAATTATACTTCTGATGTGTTGCTGGACTTATCTCCAGTCCCACCCAGGCCTGCAGCCACTCAGACCCAAATAAACACACAGACAATAATTTTATTTAAACTGTTTGGCCTAATGGCTCAGGCTTCTTGCTATCCAGTTCTTATATCTTAAATGAACCCATTTCTATCAATCTATAAGTTGCCATGTGGCTTGTGGCTTACCAGTACTTTCACATCATGCTTCTTAGGTCTGTGGCTGATGACTCCTGACTCAGCCTTCTTCTTCCCAGAATTCTCTGCTTATCCCACTTATACTATACTTCCTGCCAAAATGCTATTGGCCAATCAGCATTTTATTTATCAATCAATCAGAGCAACACATTCACAGTATCCCCAGCACTGATGTTTAATTACCCCTGGTTCTATGATGTGTTCTTTTGTACTTTCAAATCATCAACTACTGGCATCATGTTTCCATGGCTTTCACTGACTAGAAGAAATAGCTAGATAGGGATTGTTGTGAAACATTTATCCCTCTGCAGTGATCTAGAGAGCAGACTGTGGAACCTAGTATCCTGGGTGTTTTCTCTCTGTTCCTGAATACCCCATCAGGCTAAGGGTGGGGAATCATGCTCGTGTCCCTCTTCAAGAAGATGTATCTCTGAATCCCCCCTTTCAGTTTCTAATCTGAATTGTATAAATGCTGTTTCTATGTTTCATTCTAGTTTACAAAACCAAGTATCGTTGGCTACAGTTAATTGTCCCATTTCTGGTGGCAATTCTGTTTGCTGTGGACACGGTGTTATTGTTCTCCACCCAGAAACAGTTCAAACTACTCATGAAGATTCGGAAGACAGGAAAATGCAACAAACCTTGAAACTTAACTCCTAACCTAGACACATAAAGGAACTGATGCCATTGTTGGAGAAAGAATTCTTAACATTAGTTTTCCACAGTCCTCAATAGTTTCTCAACTGTCAAAGGGCACTCACATTATCTATAGGAAAATCTGTGCCTCGGGATTTGCATTAATGCTTCATTAAACCATCTGCAGCTGGCTAAATAACATGTAATAGTAAATGATCAATAAACACTGGTTTAATAAGTTAAAGAATGAGTTGAATCCTTTATTTGTGTTTGTAAAAGAGAAGCACAATTTGAATAAAGCAAGTGTGGAATCATGTGGCATGGTACCTTTAGAGATTGTTTGTTTTCATCTAGAAGAAAGACCCATGAGGGCACAAATTTAAAATAACCTTTCCTGGTCATCATAAGAAGGAGGTAGGTAGCACAGAAGACATGGTAGGATACTGGTGATGTTGGCAAGGTTTTGTGTTCTGCCTTCGATTGCTAGGAGCTTTTGACTCTTGATAAAAGTTGAGATGACTTCAAGGCATGGGAAGTTCTGTGGTGATATACTTTGTAACCAAATAAAGTTTGTCTTGAGGATTAGAGGACAGAACCAGCCACTAGATTAGACATAGAAGCCAGACAGTGCCACACACGCTTAATCCTATCACTCGGGAGGCAGAGATCCATTTGGAAGTCTGTGAGTTTGAGGCCACACTGGAAACAGAGCCAGGCAGTGGTGATGTACACCTTTCATCCCAGTACTGGAAATCACACACACCTTTGATACCAGGAAGTGATGTCTGGGCAGAGAAAGGTATGTAAGGTATGAGGAAACAGGAACTCACTCTCTTTCGGCTGAGGATTTTGTAGAGGTAAGAACTAGTGGCTGGCTGCTCTGCCTCTCTGATCTTTCAGCTTTCACCCCAATATCTTGCTCCAGGTTTTTATTATAAGACCATTTAAGATTCGAACAACAGGATTCATAGTTGATCAATTCAGTCATATCAGATTAACCAATCTTACAGTTGCAATTTGTATCATATCTTCATAGAGGAACAAAGCAAATGACTTTTGAGAAATCCAGCAAATGATAAACACTGTTTATAATCCCACACAGTAGTTCTCAACCTGTGGATCATGATCCCTTTGGGTCATTTGTAACAATGAAAACATAACCTGCATACCAGATACTTACTCTTCATAACAGTAGCAAAATAATAGTTATGAAGTAGCAATGAAAATAATTTTATGGTTGGGGTTCATCACAACATGAGGAACTCTGTTAAATGGTTGGAGCATTAGGAAGGTTGAGAAACACTGGTATAGGACCTAATCAGTTCTTGGGTAAGGGAAATAGGTTTGTGTTCTATCTCTTTCATTTTGTTACCAAATCATTTGTTGAAGGCCTGGGTCTGCCTCAGAGTGTAAATTGGATTAAGTTTCTTTCCTGCAAAGATATCCATTATTAGGGCCAAACTACACATTATGACATGGATCAAAATCTTTATTCTTTTACTTCCTAGGTTTATGATATCAGAAACTCTGCTTATGTATTTATGAGTCAAGTGTTTCATTTCTAAAATAGGAATGAAGATAGGCATCATGTCTAACTCAGCTCCTGCTCCTCTTCATGCAGACAATGAGTTGGGGCTTAAGGAAAACTCGAAGGGACAGAGTCCATGCTGTCAGTGCTGGACTGGAGCTTATGATGGCGTATGAGAGCAGAGGGCTTAAGTTTGCCTAGACTCTACACCTACTGACATTGTAAGAAAAGCTTTGAGTGTAATTTGTAAAGACTGATAGGCCTGGAATTTTTATTTCCTCAAGAAGTGTCAGTGGAATATACATAGTAATTGCTTCAGCCTTTTTAAAAGGTAGACATACAGATATATTATGTGAACTTCCTCATCCTCCTCCCCAATATTCTCCTCATTTCATATGGTAAGGGATGACTACATTCCTGCCACATGGGTTCATGTAAATAGGTGTGGTGAATGCAGAAGAGATTCTGCAGGGAAAAGTCCCTACTGGAAACTCCTGGGTGATTTTCTGGGAAACTTTCTCTGCTTCCTGCCCAAGGCTTATTTCAGTATAAAGCCTTCAGACCACAGTGTTGCCAATATACACAGTCAAGACACATTGCTCTACAGAGTTCCCTACTATGTCATTGTCCTTGGCATTGAACTACACAGGAAGCCCCTCCTTTATCTCAGACTTGGTTGTGATGCCAAATACTCAGAGTTAGAACTGAGAGATGCTTGATGTGGGCAGAAATTCCCAGGCTTGATCAGCTTGAGAGACATCTGAGGGAATATCTAGGTTCCTGAATGTCACCGTTTGTTTGCCTCCCTCCATCCCCAGTCAAGCTTGGGAGGGCCATGGACAGAGCAGAGGGATGGAAGTCCAAGCTGCTTCTCACTGAGTGATGGACTGGGCCAGGCGACTGGCTAATCTTTGAGATTCTGTTTTTCCTGTATGAGAAGGGATTTGACAAGGTGGTTTCTAGAGTCTCCCTTGTCTCAGACACTGCCACTCACTTTGCATGTAGTGATCATCTAGGCTCAGAGGCTCAGAAGTCATTTCCCACCAGTGCCAGGCTGAATTTTCTTTCATGCTCCATCACTGGGCACCTAGATCTGTCACTACTTTGGTGTGCTCCTTGTCATATATAAATTCCCGGTTAATTTCAGATCTGTGTCTGCTATTTCTGTTTTATTTCTTTAACTTTCATGGTCATTCATATCCTATTCCAGAAGTAACTTAGGAAATTGGGTTAATATTCTAATAGTTAGTGGTGCCCAAATTATACTCTTTCTAAAAGATTCTTTTTTTTTTTTTGTTTGTTTTTTAAGGCAGAGTTTCTCTGGGTAGTTTTGGTGTCTATCCTGGATCTCACTCTGTAGGCCAGGCTGGCCTCTAACTAATAGAGATCCACCTGCCTCTGCCTCCTGAGTGCTGGGATTAAAATATATCCCAGTGCCTTTTTAAAATATATGTGAAGTATTTGATCTATGTCAAAGAGTGAGTACGTTATTCAGGTTAGTTAGGAAATTTCCTTTCTTGATTTACCTGTTTGTCCTCCTTGGTCACCTCTGATCTATACTAAATTGGTCCAGGACAGAGCATAAAGCAACATTTGCTCCCTCAAAATAGATAATCACAAATCCTTATGAGTTTCTGATACTTAGAGGATGGGAAAACAGATGAGCATCTCCTGGCTTGTGATATTGGAAGATAAATTCCAAGGACACCACCAGAATAAAGATTTAGACAAAAGATATATCAGGAGAGACTGTTTGGAAATTAAGTCCTTAGACGAAAGGTGAACTTCTCTTCATCAAATGGGAAATGAAAAACAGAGGGGCATCTCTCTAAACCTGGAGATGCAGTTTCCTGCTGTGAAGGGAAGAAGGCCCCAAGACAGCCAAGTCTATGGATGACATCAGAGTCTGTCTTCCTGTCTTAGATCACCTGCCCAGGTCTGGACAGTTACTTAGCAATTTCATGTCCGCATCTGGTGCTTCAATTGTCACAGTATTCCCACTCTAAAGCTTTCCCCCCTCAATGCTCTCAAAATTACTATCAAATTCACCTGCATATGCTGTTTGCAACATCCAAATTCTTCCATTTTCAGAACTGAAAAGGTATAGGTGTACTGTCAGTCTCGTTGATATTCAATACAGCATAGACAATGGGCAAAAGCCCCTCTGCAATGTGGAGTCAGGATGAAAAGAATCTGAAATTATAGAAAATTCAGACAGAAAAAAACCTCAGATATTTATTTAACAAAATTTTAAAATCATTGTGTCATAGTAGATATAACAGCACTTGTAACAAAAATATATTTTAAAACTGAAAGAAAAGATCTCATCCACCTGTACTAGAATAAGTTAGGGCTAAAAATCGTATTTTCCACAAATGCCAACTGTTCTAGAAATGCAATTCTAAAACGCAGCTGCAGATTGGTGAGCACAGCAAATAGAATCCATGACAGAGGCTTGAATGCATCACCTACACCTCTGCTCAGGTGAAAGAAGCAGGGTTGAAAGAGAAAACCTGAAATGTGAAACAGTCACAGCAAAAACTCTAAACCATCTCACAGATGACAGCTCTGGACCCAAGACAGCTCTCCATAATCACCATAGAGAGGAGACACCATAGAATAGACAAACCGTTGGAGGCAGCATATTCCCCAAACATGATAAAAACACGATGCAGATCCTTAGCAAGGATGCTTCCAAAGAGGACTCACTGAGAGTCTCACTCCAGGGTTCTAGGTTACCCAGAGAGTTCATGTGTGGATCCTGAAGTGTACGATCTGGAGGTGTACATCAGCCTTTGGCAAATTCATCTTCAGACATGTGATGTCTGTTCTACTGCTCATCATACCAGCATACTTCATATCTTTATTTAACTTGAGTCAACAGAATTGCTAAGCTATTTTTTAAAAATTGTCTTTTAACCAACTCCACAGAAAGGAAATGGCTTCACTATTTCTGGAAATCTGGACACTGAGGGAAGACATAGCACTCCACATTCCTTCCCTGTACAGACTTCATATTCTAGTCTTTTTTTTTTTTTTTTTTTTTTTTTTTTTTTTACAAAATGACACATGCTAATTTAAAATTACAGATTGTTCATTTCCATGAGTGTGCTCCGCTACTGTCAAACAATGGATCTGATGTTCTTTTACAGTGATATCTACCGGCCCCCTTCTATACTCATTTTCTTTATTCCAACATTGAAAGGATGGACAAAGCTAACCTTGTCAGTATGGTCTTCTTCTGGGTCTGAATTTTCTCAAGTATGCATTATAGGATTGTAGATAGCCCACACCTGTATTCTTTGTGGCTGGTGCTGTTTTACTTTCTTACCTCTATAATACCATCCACTTCAAAGACATACTTCAAGTCTCTTAAAAATCCCCAAGTCATCACTCAGTATTAATGTGATATTCATGAAAAAGAAAATAAGAAAGTCTTTGACATAAAGGTATGTGTTTGAATACTGACTATACCAGCAGCCTTATCAACAACAAACATGTCTTTTTGGGCTTGTTTCCAGAACTGATACATATCACATTTAGACAATTGATGGACTTAGTGTTTTAATAAATTTGAGTGGATACAGTCTTGTACATCCTACCAGTGAGGATCGAGTCTGAGAAATAATTTGTAAGCAAATTTGTCATTGTATCAATATCATATAGTGTAGCTACACATCACACATAGTACCAGCCCATTGTATAATATAAG